TCCTGGGATGGAGCTCCACATCGGGCTCCCTGCTGGGTGGGGAGCCTGCTTCTCCCTCTGTCTGCCGCTCCCCCTGGTTGTGCTCTCTTTCTCTCTCTGACAAATAAATAAATAATATCTAGAAAGAAAGAAACAAACAAACAAACCAGTGAGGGGTGCCTGGGTGGCTCAGTGGGTTAAGCCTCTGGTTTCCACTCAGGTCATGATCTCAAGGTCCTGGGATCAAGCCCCGCATCGGGCTCCCTGCTCAGCAGAGAGCCTGCTTCTCCCTCTCCCACTCCCCCTGCTTGTGTTCCCTCTCTCGCTGTGTCTCTCTGTGTCAAATAAATAAATAAAATCTTTCAAAAAAAAAAAAAAAGGAGTTAGCAATTGACTCAAACCCAGAAGGGTTCCGAAGTGTACTCCCTTGACCTGTATACTTCCTGTCCTCCATTCTAGCTTGAAGAAGTGTTGTGATCAGCAGGCCCGCATTCAAGTCCTGACTATGTTGCTTATAAGCTGGGTATCCTGCATACTTCGCTTAATCACTCTGAAACTCAGATTCATCATCTGAAAAAGAGACAGTGGCACAGAAGCCAGAGGGTGGAGGAATGAATGAATGACCCATAGCCCTGAGGACACCGCACAGAGAGCCAGGCACCCAGCGAGCCCTGGATACACTCCAGGTATTTCAGCCACTGTAATTTTTCCACTTACTGAATTCATTTGAGCAGAGACCCAAACATGTTACCCAACCTTTGCACATAATGCATTCCTGGAAATGTGTTTGAAGCTCATTTCGCAAAACTCAAACAATAGATTTCTGTGCTGTAAAGAACATCCCATTTACTAAGGACTACGCCAAGTATGAAATCCCGAAGTACTTTTCATCTCTTAGATGTCATTGTCCAAGATGTATTTCCAGGATTTCATACATGTTATTTTTTAAAGTAATTGGATTTATCTTATTGTGTATTGTTTGGTCCTGCTTACAAAAGTGATGGGTGCTTGTTGGCAACAAAAAATTCAATTGTTAGAGAAATATGCAATGCAGAAAGTAAAGGTAGTGTGGAGATCGCATGCAGAAACACATACAAATGGTTGGTGTGTGTGCCCAGGGAGGGGCCGTCCCACCAAGATGTCAAAGCATCAGAACACAGAACATGAAAGAAATGGTTAAAACAGCATGCATATTGCCTTAGTAGGTTTTGCCAAGTTGCCCTCCCCAAAGGTTCTACCAAGAGATGCCCTTGCTAACAATTTGGAGATTTCCTGTTTCCCCATACCTCCAACTCTGGGCATTCCCAAGTTTCTTCATTTGGTTAAATTGAGGGGAAATTGACTATTTTATGAAAAGCACACACATGCTCCAATTGTGTCCATTGCCTCCATAATTAAACTGGTCACCCAGCTTAAGCCTCAAAGGATCCAGCTGAAAGATTTGTTTCTTTTGACATGAGCTTCCCTTCCCTCCACTTGCCCCCAACCCCAGTGGCCTTTAGCTTCCTGTAATGGACCGAACTGCTTCCCACCTCATGTGCACAGTCTGTGCCTCTTCAACTAGGAAACAATTATTCACCCTTCAAAGAGACCTAGGGTAAGTTCCTGAACCTGTTTTCCCATTTGTAATAATCTCATCCCCTTCGTGGAGGTGCTATGAAGATTATATGAAATACATAGTTTCAAACGCTTGGCACAGTGTTTCACAGTGTTAGGATTTCAGCTCAAGGGGCACCTCCTCCAGGAAGTCCTCCCTGACCAACCTGCCCAGGTCAGGTCATGGACCCCTCAATGACTCTTTTTTGGTATATATCATTAATACAATGTGGGAAACAAAGGCAGAAGAAAAATAATTAAATTTCCTTACTACCTACAACCCATTAACAAGTCCTTGAAACAGGCAAAGTGACATTCCTCTAGGAACTCAACTGCTTCGATGTTGACACTTTGCTAAGGGCAAAAGACAATCCTAGCCCGGCCCCCCTCCCCCCTACCTGTAAGCCTACTTTAAAATATAAAAATTCTTTTGGAAGCTACATTTATCTCTAAACCCCCCAAGATACATGCTGGCAGTCATCCCCCAAGTATATGGCCCACTGATATACATCTGAAGGGTCTCATGACTAAGGTTTTATTAGACGGTAATAAATGACCTTTTCCCAACAAGAAGCTAGCCCCCTCAAGGTCCTGGAAACCTTGCTTCCAAAAGTGCTTAGACACTTACGCTATATCCCTACCCCCTCCCAACTTGAAAGTATGCAATGGACCACTCCTCATGACCCCAGTGCTGCTCTTTCTGCCCACAGGTCCCGTCCCTATGTTTAATAAAACCACCATTTTGCACCAAAGATGTCTCATGAAGGGCGCCTGGGTGGCTCAGTTGGTTAAGCGACTGCCTTCAGCTCAGGTCATGATCCCAGGGTCCTGAGATCGAGCCCCGCATGGGGCTCCCTGCTCTGCGGGGAGCCTGCTTCTCCCTCTCCCACTCCCCCTGCTTGTGTTCCCTCTCTCGCTGTGTCTCTCTCTGTCAAATAAATAAAGAAAATCTTTAAAAAAAAAAAAAAGATGTCTCATGAATTCTTTCTTGGCCATCGGCTCCAGACCTCACCCCACCAAACCTTACCAACATTCCAAAACTACATCAAATGGATGGATCAGTAAGGGCTCAGTCTTTGACTCAATTATACCAACATGTCAGAGGCTACACTTCTTTTTTCTTTTTAAGATTTATTTATTTATTTGAGATAGAGAAAGAGAGAGACTGAGGGGAGGGGCAGAGGGAGAAGGAGAGAGAGGATATCAAGTAGACTTCCCTCTGGGTGCAGAGCCCGCCTTGGGGCTTGATCTCAGGACCCTGAGATCAGGAACTGAGCCCAAGTCAAGAGTGGGACGCTTAACTGACTGAACCACGCTGATGCCCAGGGGCTACTTCTTATCACTGTTATCAGCACATCCATTTTCTCCCTATCCACACCTTTCTGTAAAGACAGAAGATAAATGCAGTAATGCTCCTACCACCGCACAAACAAGCCAAGATGGCCACAGAGCTCAGAAAACTGCTGGTGGGTAGGCAGTGCCCCCATGTGATCGCTGGAAATGTTTGTTTCTCTGTCCATCCACAATTGCCAAAATTCAATGCTCTGGTTATATCTTCTGTTTGTCCTTCCGGATCAACTGCCCTGAGAGGCTAACAGCATGGCTGGCTCCCTTGCTCTCCCTGCCTTCTGGTGCAGCCAATGTGAGGCTCCAGCAGGAGATGGGAGAATGGCAGGCAGCAGAAGGAGGGGTCTTGCTTCCCCTCTCCAGAACACTAGCCGGATCTAGTGACTCGATTTTAACATACAAAAGGTGGCAGTAGAAGTGATGCCGTGAGGCTTCCAACACTAGGTCATAGAAGATGCAACTCCCACCTGGCTTTTCTTCTCTTGTTGGATCCCCTGCCCTGGGGAGGGCAGCTGCCAAGTTGGGGGTATACTCAAGCAGCCCAAGGAGGGAGGAATTGGGCCATCCCACCGACAACCAGCACCTGCCAGCCAGCCATGTCGAATGGACCCTCCAGCCCCAGTCAAACATTCAGGTGACTGCAGCCCTGGCCAACATCTTGACTACAATATTTATGAGAAACCCTGAGCCAGAAAGTCTAGCAAAACCATTTCTAAATTCCTGATGCACAAAAACTATACGAGACAGTTTGATGCTCCGTGACTGGAACGGTGCCTGGTGCAGAGTAAGAGCTCGATATGATGGCCATTATTATGAGACTCTAGCAGATCTGGGGGCGCCCGGGTGGCTCAGTCAGTTAAGCGTCCAACTCTTGGTTTCCTCTCAGGACATGATCTCGGGATTGTGAGATCGAGCCTTGCGTCGGGCTCATGCTGGGTGGGGAACTTAAGATTCTCTCTCTCCCTCTCCCTCTGCTCACCACTAGCCTCCCCCTCCCCCCCCCCCCCGCTCTCTCTCTCTCTCTCTCAAAAAAAAATTTAGAAGATCTTGTTCATGTTGGAGGTGGATGGGTCTCCCACCTGTTTCCTGTCTGCTTGCCACCCACCCCTCCCTCTCCACTGGGTAAGTAATAATTATATACCATATATTATATATACTGTACATATGTATAACAAGAGAGCGCCTCCACACCTCCCCACTTCCTTCAGGATAAAATCCCAGGTACTCTATGCCACCTACATGCACCCCTCCCCACTTGAAATTCCACATTCAGTCACAAAGAACTGTGAACTGTTTATATTCACTAATAGGCTCCAGACGGGGTGCACAGACCCACAGACAAAGTTCTGGAGGTCAAGTAGAAAACATGAGAACACCTAGATTTTTAAATCTCCATTTTTTGGTGTGTTTGTTAAAGAATATCTTTATGTAATAGGGGCCCCTGGCTGGCTCAGCGGGTGGAGCATGTGACTCTGGATCTCAAGGTCACCCGTTCAAGCCCCACCTTGGGTGTGGAGCCTGCTTTAGAAAAAATTTAAAAATTGTGCTAGCCAAGAGGATTCTCAACCTTCCGATTTACAGTGCAGATTCCCAGGAACCCCTAGACTACATGCTGCTGCCAGACTGCTAGGGACCAGTAACTTCTATTTTTAACAAGCATCTTCCCCTTCGCCCAACTACCTGCTCCTTTGGCTGTGGCACACAGTAGGTTGGCCCAGTGACTAGTTAGCCTTCCATATGCCAGGTGCTAGTGCGCGCTCTACCCCAGGTCTCGAATCCTGGCAGACACACATAACCAAGATGTAGCCACTGTAGCATCCCCATTTTACAGAGGAGTAAACTGAGGTTGGGAAAGGAGACGCAGCCGCGTACGAGACTCAGAGCGAGCAGGGGGCGCAGGTCCTAATTTGTGCCCGATTCCTGAGGGAGCGGAGGAGGGAGAGCGATGAAGTGGGGGAGCGCGAGCTGAGAGGGACACGGAGATTCGCGGCGGCCTTCCAATGCGGCCCCGCCCCCACGAGGGACGTGAAGACGCGGACCCCGCGCAGCGTGGGGACATGTGACCGACTGCAGAGGCCGCGCCGCCTCCACCGCCCGAGGTCCGCGCGCTCCGCAGCAGGGTGCAGACCCCGGGCGCCCGCCCGGGTCTGGGGCGCAAGAGCAAGAGGCGGAGCCCGGGCGGAGCCAGAGCGCCCCGTCCACCCGTCACCCCCGGCAATCGAAAGCGAAAGAGGGGGCCGGGAAGGAAGGGCGGGGCCGCCCGGAGGCCCCGCCCCCTGCCCTGCGCGGCTGCTGGACCCGCGGGCGCGCCCAGGTAAGGCGGCTCCGAGCGCGCAGTGCGGACCCTCGCGGGAACCTGCGCCGCCGCCACCATGTCTCAAGAAGGTGTGGAGGTAGGAGATGGCTACGGCTGGGCGGGGGGGCTCGCGAGAGGCGCCGGGGAGGGGCCGGGGGCGCGGAGGGGCTTCGCAGTTCTGGGGACTCCATCCGAAGCCCAGACCTTCCCCCTGGCTGGCACTCGGCCGCCCGCCCCCGGAAGGAGAATGATCGCCACATCCCCCAGAATGAGATGCGGCCTCCTCGAGGAAAAGCGGGGGCTGCAGGGTCAAGGGTCAGAGGCCAGGGGTTACCTGGCCGGCCTCCTCCCTTAGCTTGGGACGCTCGCCCCAGTCCGCTCCCTCCCCCAATACCCTGTGGGGACTTTGGCTTTTAACAGGAAATGCCGTAGAGGGATGGGGGTGGAGGAGGAGGCCAAAACCAAGGGTCAAGTTCAGGATGGGAGAAGGATGCCTGGAGATGGAGGAGGGGCAATCGCTCCCCTCCTTACTCGATCGGAACCCCCCTTTGCCCACCCAAGCTGGAGAAAAGCGTCCGGCGCCTCCGGGAGAAGTTTCATGGGAAGGTATCCTCCAAGAAGGCGGGGACTCTGATGAAGAAATTTGGCAGCGACCACACGGGAGTGGGGCGCTCCATCGTGTACGGTGAGCCGGCTGGGGTCCCGGCCCGGGTAGGGGTTGGGAACCGGGAGCGCGCAGAGGAGGTGTGGTCTGCGTTAAGGGTAGGAAGAGACGCTGAGATCATCTCCTGAGGAGGGTCTATACAGGGGCTCTGGGGAACCCTGAAACTCCCACAAGATTCTTCAAGGATCTTTTACTTACACTTACTCTTGCCACCAGGGGTAAAGCAGCAAGATGGACAGGAACTGAGTAATGACCTGGATGCCCAGGTAAACTGCCCCCCCCCCCCCCCCCGTCAAAGGATGGGGTAGCTGGGGAGAGGGGACAAAAGGGACCTGGAGGATCCATAATGAGCCTCTTCTGTGCACCACCAGTCCCCACTTCATGATCCACATTGACTTACTCACCTTTCAGTCATGTGTCCGACCAGGGAGACTGCAAACTGTAGGCACTGCTCGTTACTTGTGGGTGATATTAAGTGGGAGAGAGAGACATGAAACTAGGCAGTGAAACAAATCAGGATTAGTGTCCTTATAGAGGACCCCGGGAGGTCAGGGAAGCCTTCCTGGAAGGGGTGGTGCCAGCTCTTTAAGGCTGAGGAGAAGTAATTCAGGGAAGTGGGGGGTGAGGGGAGGAGAGGGTTGGGAAGGTTCTTCCTGGAAGAGGGAACAGAGTGAGCAAAGGAACACGCAAACAGGCTAGGATAAATAGGAAATGGGGGAGGAGAGAGGGGCAGGGAGCCCATGTGATGAATGAATGAATGAAAGGCTTTGAGGCACAGGTACGACATGGCTACTTTACCCCTTAAATGACTGGTGGCCAGCGCACTATGGATTTCACCTGCCTGAAAGCACCCCCCCATAGTTGTTAAAGAATATAAGGTATGTATTGTATTCTTTACGTTTACACATGTAAAGGGTATGATAAATATAATGGGAGGGGCGCCTAGCTGGCTTAGTTGGCGGGGAGCATGCGACTCTTTCTCAGGGTCATGAGTTCAAACCCCACATCGAGTGTGGAGCCTACTTAAAATAAAGAAAAAAATAATAACAGGAAAGTGAGCACTCCCCCTGCAGTAGGGTTTCCTTGAATTTCATCCCCATACTGATCCATTGAGACAGGTCCTGTTATTTATCACGTCCATTTTACAGACAAGGGAACTGAGATGGAGAGTGACGAAGTCACCTGCCAGGTTCATAGAGAAAGCAGGTGGCAACTGGGATTTCAACCGTGGCGCCACTCTGAGATCCTCCTCATTCGGGATGCAGGGGGAGTGGTTTGGATTGGAACCTGCATCTATCTGAATCCAGAGCCCAAGCACTTAGCCTAAAGCAGCGTGGACTCAAAGAGGCGACCCGTCACAATGCCACCAAGTGTGTGGCATTTACCAGCAGGAAGGGAAGCATGGGGTCCAGGCCTTTTCGGCCATGCTCACTCAGGGTGATCTCAGGCAACCCCTCTTCCTGCTCAGAGCCTCAGTTTATCTGAGCAGTGGGGATAATAGGTGTGCCCCCCCTCAAGATGACTGTGAGGATAACTGGGGCCATGCACCTTGCCCTCTATAAGCTGCTCCTGAGTTAGGGACTCCCTACTCATATGGGGCCAGGACCCTGCCTCCCTGTCCAGGAGCCCCACCCCAGCAAATAATGGTAAAAAGAGGTCTGAGCGGCATCCCCAGTTTCTGCCCCTGATGTCTCCATCCAGGACCCACCAGAGGATATGAAGCAGGACCAGGACATCCAGGTGAGTCCAAGGTATGGGATAGGGGCAGGTGGAGTGAGGAGGACATCCATGGGGGAGAATGGAGGGCATCCATGGATGAGGAGAGGAGACATATATGTAGAGGGAAGAGGGCTGATGTGTTTATGTTCGCGGAGGAGGCGTGACACCCTCTTGTCCCCATCGTGCAGGATGTGGCGACCTCCCTCCTGCCACTGACAGAAGCCAACCTCCGCATGTTCCAACGCGCCCAGGAAGACCTCATTCCCGCCGTGGATCGGCAGTTTGCCTGTTCCTCCTGTGACCATGTCTGGTGGCGGCGCGTACCCCAGAGGAAGGAGGTGATAACCTGACCCCCCCACTTCAGGGTCCGCACCTCTGACCTAAGAATATCGACCCCCGAGAGCCCAGCCCCTGACCTGCAGTCTCAGAGCTCAGTCTCCATCTGGGACCCCATCCATCTGCCCCTCCAGCTCCACCCTTATCCCCAGAGCCCGACCTCTGACTCCACAGTTTGACAGCTGCCCCAGAAATCAAACCTGACCCCAAAACCACAATCCCAGGTCTGGATTTGGAACCCCCAATCAGTGGTGTGCTTCTGGTAAATGCTTAGTAGCCCAGCTAGTGCAGGGAGGTGGCGGGAGAACCCCAGATTTGTAGTGTTTGCCAATTTCCGTGGGGTACCTATTCCCACTGCGGCCACTGTTCGAGCTCCTGGGGCGCCCCTCTGACAGCGAGCCTGCTCCCCACTCTACACACCCAGGTGTCCCGGTGCAGGAAGTGTCGAAAGCGCTATGAGCCAGTGCCATGTGACAAGATGTGGGGTGTGGCTGAGTTCCACTGCCCGAGGTGTCGGCACAACTTCCGGTGAGGGTGCTGACCCCCACCCCACCCTCTGCCCTGCCCCACCCCACCCCAGCCCTGTCCTGCCCTGGCCCCACCCTGGCCCAGGCCTTACCTTTGGACCCTCACGGCCCTGCCCGCCCCCAGGGGCTGGGCACAGATGGGGTCCTCATCCCCCTGCTACGGGTGCGGCTTCCCCGTGTATCCAACACGGATCCTCCCTCCACGCTGGGACCGGGACACCGACCGCCGCAGCACCCACACCCACTCCTGCTCGGCTGCCGATTGCTACAACCGGCGAGGTGAGGGCCTGGCATGTCCCCCATGACCTCCCCTCAACTCGGGGCAGTCTACTTGACCTTGACTCCTGGGACATCCACCTCTGGGGCCTTACGTACCAAGGTCCCTGCCTGCTTCTCCCACATGCCTCCTAAGGCCTCGGTCCCCAGAGCCACTTAGCTCATCCCATGGCATCAGCCCCTCCTTTCGCATCTTCCATGGCTGCCCCAACACCACCCAAGACCCTGCCCCACCTAATATCCATCAGCCACATTCTGTGGTCTTGCCCCTGAGGCTCAGTGGTTTCACCCCAATGTTCCATGGCCTCGGCCTCTGCCCCGTGGTCTCTTCTCGGTTCCTGTTTTATGTCCTATAGTCTCAGGCGATGCCCATGTCCCTGGGTCTGTCATGGCTTCGACACCTGTGACTTTTCATCTCTGAGTTTCCTGTAGTTCTGGCCCAGGCCCCTCCCCTCTCCAGAACACCCCATGGGCTGCAGCCCCTTTGCCCCCAGAGTCTTAGATGGCCTCAGAACCTCTCCCTCCCCAGAGCCCCACATGCCTGGGACGTCCTGCGCACACCCCAAGAGCCGAAAGCAGAACCACCTGCCCAAAGTCCTGCACCCCAGCAACCCCCACATCAGCAGTGGCTCCACTGTGGCCACCTGCCTGAGCCAGGGGGGCCTCCTGGAAGACCTGGACAACCTCATCCTGGAGGACCTAAAGGAGGAACTGGAGGAAGAGGAGGAGGAGGGTGGGCACAGGGAGTGACCCCTGACAGGGGCAGATGCAAGCCAGACACACTCTGTGGAGATTTTGTGTTGTTATAAAATATGAGCTCAAACTGCGATCTAAACACCCTTCTGGAGCCATTTGGGTCTGAGATGCCAGCAGGGGGACTCCTGGGTCCCGTTTTCAGGGGGACAACAGGACAGACTGTGGGATGCGGCCCCCGCTAAGTCACAAAGCAAGTGTGGCCAGGACAACTTGGGCTCCTGCTGACAAATGTCCCCTGGGACCTGGGGGACAGACGGACGGATGGTCACAGCTTCAGGGGCCGGATCAGCATGGCGGCCTTCTTGAGAGAGTAAGCCCCGCCACGAAACTCGGCCCAGTAGACGCCGTCTTGGTAGCGGCTGCGGTAATGGCCACCACGGTGCCACACGCCGTTGAGGTTCGAGTGGGCACAGGCGTGGTACCACCAGCCTCCCCGATGGTACAAGGCACAGTTACCTGAGGGGCGAGAAAACCCATATCCTGTCACCAAAATAAAAGCCTCTACCACTGCCTCACTAGTGCAAGGCTTTTGTCAGGCATCCCCTGGCCCTTCTCACTCTTACTGAATATAACCTCGATCCTCTCTTTCCTCCCCAGAGTAAGAATCCTGGCCCCATTTTCTTTTTTAGAGTAATAGCTTTAATTCCTTCCCTATCGCCCTACCAAAGTACAAGTTACACCTTTTCCACCCTTTCTGAAAACCAGGAGCTCTACCTTTATGGGGGGGGGGGGGGAATGTTACCTACTTCCTTTCTAGAATAAGACTCCTCGTTCTCACACCCTGCCTTTTACCAGAACAGGAATCTTGACTTTTTTTTTTTTTAAAGATTTTATTTGAGAGAGAGAAAGCACATGAGAGGGGGGAGGGTCAGAGGGAGAAGCAGACTCCCTGCCGAGCAGGGAGCCCGATCGGATCCAGGGACTCCAGGATCATGACCTGAGCCAAAGGCAGTCGCTTAACCAACTGAGCCATCCAGGCGCCCCAGGAATCTTCTCTTATTAGGAAGGAATTTGCCTCATCAAAGAAGGAATCTAGGCTCTCCATCCCCTCACCAGAATAAAAGTCCTCTCCTCTCTTCTCTTGCTTACCCTGATCCTCACCAGAGGGAAGTTTCACCCCACTCCTTTTCATTCTTTTCCATCCCTCCCTAGGAGTCCCACCTCCCATCCCCACTCCCCACCAGAAAAAGAGCTCTCCTTACCAGAATAGGAGTCTCGGTCCCTATCCACGGTGCTGAAAGGCTTGTCATTGTGCCAGGAAAGAGAGTCTCCAGCATCTCCATGGTACTGGCCAAGCCGAAGGCGATAGTGGTCGCTCTCAGGCTCCAAGGAGAAACTATCATAACGGGCACGTGCCCCACGCCCTCCCCAGTCCTCCAGGAGCACCAGTAACTCGTGGTCCCCACGGCTGGTCAGCTGATGCACAGGTTCCAGGCCCAGCCAATATTCCCCATCAGGCTGCCCGAAGCCCACCTGGCAGGACAGGGAAGTCAGAAGGTCAGAAGCAGGTCCCCCACCCTCTGCCCAGCCTTGCCCCTACCCATCCACGCCCACCTTGTAGTGCTGCCAGGTAGTGAAGAAGTTGACAGAGCCATCTTGCCGCCTTTGGATCACAGTCCAGCCTCCACCCTCCAGCTGTTGCTCACACCACACTGACCTTACGTGCCGGCCCAGTCGCAGCTCATACACGCCGCTCTGCCTATGGCCTGCCTGGTGGGCCTCTGCACAATCCTGCCACGGACCTGTGGGTACAGAGATAGGGGGAAGGCACAGCCTGGACCAACCAACCCCTTACTGGGAGAAGAGTCCTGATTCTCATCTCATCCCCTCACCAGAATAGCAGTCCTGCCTCTCCCATTCCCTGACCAAAATAAGAGCCCCAATATCCATTTCCTTCCCTGAGTTAAGATTCTAGTTCATTCTTTTCTCACTACAGCAAATATGGAGCCTGGGGTACTTAAATCTGGGCTCTACAATCTCACCAGAATAGAAATCCTGAACGTGATACTCTGAACTAGCTTAAATGCTCACCAATAAGCAGTCCTAAATTCCCTGTCCCCTCATCAAAGGAAAAGTACCTCCTTTCCCGTCTTCATACCCCAGTAAGAATTCTGGTCTTTATCAAAATGAGAGCCATAGCTCCTTGTTCCATCACCAGGATAAAAGCATCATTTCCCCCCGTCTCCTTACCATGAGAGAAATCTGCCATTAAAATCCTGGCTCCTATTTCCCTCTATCCACACTGCCCTGGGAATCCCCTAGCTCCTCACACCCTCAACAGCCCTGCCCTCATCTTACCTGTTGGCTTGGTGGGGACAGCAGGGTGCCCTGCAGGCATGGGAGAGGCCAAGGGCCCCTGCTGTCTCAGGGTCTGGTCTCTCTGGGGCTCTGGAGCTGGATCTAGCCTCCTGCTGGTGTTATTAATGCCACCCACCAGACTGACAGGAACCACAGGCACCAGGGGTGGTGGCAGGATCTGGGGTGACCAAGAGACTCAGATGTGATTGCACTAGCCTTCAGCTGAAAAGACGCTGGGCCCCCAACTCTTCCCAACAGCCAGATGGGTGGGAGATCAGGCAGGGGCATGTCCCAGCCCTAGAACTGATACTCCCCAAAGCCTAACTCTAGCTGTCAAGAGCAGAACTGGGCCTAAATTCCCACTCTGGTGTTCACAGCTGAACTGATCTGTGCCTCTGACACTCCTTTTCTGTAAAGTACGGATCATGAGAGTACCTCCAACAATGAGTATTAGAATCTTCCCAACAGCCCTGTAAGGTGTGGGTTGTCACAGAGCAACAATCTTATTCAAAATTAGGGCCAGCCATGTTCCAGAACTAAGGATAATATGGCAGCAGTTAGAAAGAGTAACACAGGGCAGATATTTATATCGCATAACACCTCCATAACATGGCTCTTTGGTCTTCACATAATAATATGCTTGATTACAGGCTCTGCGAATATTTATATTAAGCGGATAAGTGAAGATTTTAGGTAGCCACCAGTCGCGTTCTGACCCAAATGAGCTGTGGGAGGAGAGGTAGGAATCTGGGTTTTGGGGCTTTTCGGTTTTCAAAACTGCGGATCAGAGGCCGCGCGTGGGGTCGCAGGAGCCCCGTCTTACAAATGCTGCACACAGGAAGTGACTACGATTCCCGGCGAGCTTAGAGGTTACCTGCTGCTGCCCGCCCGTGCCCCCCGGGCACAGGCGCTCCAGGCGGGCGATGAGGCCACTCTGCTGGGTGACCAGCTGCGCCAGCTCCCGGAACTTGACATCCAGCTGGTGGAAACTGGCGGCGGCGCGCTGCGCCTCCGCTGACACGTTGAGCACGCGCTCCCCAAGCAGCGCCAGCAGAGCGGCGGGCTCCGCCCCCGGGACTGGCCCCGCCCCCGCCCCCGGCCCCGCCTCGTGCTGCAGCTGCGCGCGCAACTGGCCCAGGCGCGCGCTCAGGCCGCGGCTCTCTTTGCGCAGCGCGCGCACCTCTCCCGCCACCGCGCCGTCGGCCGCCGCCAGCCGCTGAAGTTCGCGCAGCAGCTCCTCGTGGCGGCCCACGCGCATGCGCAGCGCCGCCACCTCGCTGGCGTTCACGGCCTCCGCGGCCGGGCGCGCGGCAGACGGCCCGCTCCAGCACACGGCGCCGGTGAACTTCTGCTGGGGCAGCACGAAGGTGTAGGTGCAGCGCGGGCCGCCCGCCCGCGCCCACGTGGCACCCAGCAGGAGCAGCAGCTGCAGCGTGCGCAGCGGTGGCGCCGACATGGCCGACCTGCAGTCAGGGGACGAACGGGAAGGAGGGGAGCCCCGGGAGCCTAGCCTGGGCCCCCAGCTCTCAGGCTGGGCCGAACCTGCGTTGCTCCAGGTCCACACAGGCTCGTCTCCCCCCCGAACCCCCCCGGCCCCCAATCTGGAAGTGCCCAAATGGGATCCCACCCTGGCCTGTCCGTTGAGTCCCAGGCGCCCTGCGGGGCCGCATGTCGTGCATTCATTCAACAAACGTTCACTGAGTGCTTGCTGTGTGCCAGCCTCAGTTCTAGGGAATACGGTAGGGAACAAAACACAAAAATTCCTGCCCTGATGGGCAAAATAAAAGTAAATAAACTATAGGGGTTAATAGAGTGTATTAGACGGTGCTGAGATAGCAGTAAAACAGCGGAGAGATGTGGGGACCTAGGTCCCCGCAATTTGAAAGGAGGGAAGACGTCCTGGAGGTGACATTTGAACAAACACCTGAAGAAGGTGAGGGAGGAAGTCATGAGGACGTCTGAGGATGAAGAGCATCCCTGCCAGGGGGGACAGCAAATGCAAAGGCCCTGAGGCTAGACGGTTCCTGGTGTATTAAAGGTACTTCTGGGAGGCTGGAGCAGAAGCAGAGGGAGAATGGGTGGGAAGAAGTGAGGTGGGGTGAGAGGTAAGTCTCACTAACTCAGTCTAATAGCAGACACCCCATCTCCCACGTCCTCAGACCAAAACCCCAGAATCATCCCTGTCTCTCTTTTTTCACAGCAGATGCAACCTACTAGCCAGGCCTGTCAGCCCTTCTGTTTAGACCCTGAATTTCTCCACATCCCCCACAGTCATCATCCTCCAACATGATCCCAGCTCAAGACACCATCTGTATTTCCTTACAGCGGCTGCCCCCCAGGCCTCCAGTTGTCTGTCCTCAACCTCTGGTCTGTTTATCCCACAGCTGCCAGAGTCAAGCCATGTCTCTCCCTTTCCTAGAACCCCTCATGGCCCCCAGCTCACTCAGAGCAAAACCCCAACTCTTCCTGTGCCCCACAAGCCCTGCACCCTCTTCCCGTCCCCTCCCTGCCCTCTTCTCCCTCCCACTCACCGCTCACTCACTCACTCTGTCCCAGGCACACTGACCTCCTTGCTGCTCCTCAAACACACCAGGGACAGTCCTGCCTCAGGGCCTTTGCACTTGCTGTTTCCTCACCCTAGAACATTCTTCCCAGAATTTTAACATGGTTCCCCCTCTCTCTTTATTCAGGTCTTAGCTCACATGTCCCCTCTTCAGAAGCCCTCCCTGACAACCCCATTTAGTGTTGCTCCTCCTGGACACTCCCTATCACAGTCCCAACTTTTTCATTTTAGCATCTGTCACTCTGAAATTGCCTCATTTGTTTGCCATTGTTTATTATCTGAATTCCTCCACTGAAACATCAGCTCTCAGAGGCTGAGTCTGGGTTTTGTTCAGTGCCTGGTGCCACTGACACACCCCTCAACACCTACATGCCCCAGGTCGGCTACACCCTCCCAAGTGTTCTCAGCTCACATAGGTGAGCTCCTACAAGTATCTTCACTTGAGGGCATGTACTGAGGCCACCTACCCCTGGCCCCCATTGCCTTCATTCTTGGGGTTCGCCCACCTGCAGCCTCTCAGGCAAAAACATACATGCCTCTCACATGCACTTGCCCACACTCAGAACATGTCTCACGTGTCCACACATCACCCCCATATGCCCCAAGTTCCACTATGTCCAAAGCCAGACATCCTGGGTGGCCACACAGGGG